TAGTTGTTGATGAAACATGCAAGATGTTATAAAATAGGAATGTTGTCACATATGGCGCGTGTCATTGGTGGAAGGCAATCGTTTGATTTAGTGCGGCGACGTACGCTAGGGGGAGCGTTGTAATAAAATTGAGTGGGGAAATGTACGGAATATTCATGGTTTACCAGGTTTACCTCCGGAGCTTCGCCCACTCATCATCATTCACTTCGTGGATATGGTGGCACTTTTTTTCATACGCGTTTTGCGAAGCGCCTAAATTGGTCAGAAAAATGAAGCCAAACGACGCAAAAAAAAATGTAGTCGTTCTTTTAAGTTAAAACGGTACGTCAACGCACACGTGTCCGCCTTTTTTTCTGACGAGAGTTACGTAACAGATCGTAACTTCTCAATAGAAAATCCACCACAATATCTGCTCCGACATTATACGACTCCCACAACTGCTTCGTTCTTAGTTTGTTTATCGTTCACAGCGACTAAACGTGACAAATTAACAGCTGTTAATAGTTTTAGAATATGGTGCGCAGATCTTTGCATTAGCGTTCTGTCGAAATTGCGCATGCGTAGTGCGCTATCCTCTTTCGGGCCTCCGTTGAGTGACGTAAATGGCGGGTTTTATACGCAACGAACGCTATATATCTTTCCATAATCTACACTAAAACTTCCCAATGACTTCACACATAGTCGCGGCTACAAGAATCTGTGGCCGTATATATGGCCGAGATCATCACGCTTAATTCGTTCATTTCACTCGCGAACCCATGGCGCAAATACAAAGGCCGACTAAACGACTTCAAATTTATAATCAGGTAGCCATCCACGCTTGCACGTAAAGCAGACTTGCATGCTGCTATGACCCTCTGCTTTGAACCCAGCCGCAGTGGCAGTATTATTTATATGACGGAGGCGTAACGAAAATAAAAGAAATCCGATCTGTGCAATAATAATAATAATAATAATAATAATAATAATAATCTGAGGGTAAGAAGTAAGCTTTTTTCGTGCCGTTGTTATCAATAGTAGGGTGGTATTTTCCTATCTCACGGGCTTTCTTTATCGGACAGGAAAAAGATAGGAGGCAATAATTAGGTCGCTCAAAATGTCACAGAGGTATCTACACAGATTACAGATGCTGCAATTACATAAGTGAGTCCTTGATAATTAAGACAAAGCATGTCACTTAAACAAATAATCATTATAGTTCACTAATTAGGTATCACTAACAAAAAATGCCGGCATTATTGCTTACTGTACAGCCCCTAGACGATAATGTATATACACAAGGTTTATAGTTCACTAACGCAATTCTTGTGTAAAAAAAAAAAACTTGGTGCGAGATAGTTGTGACAACTCATGCAGCGCACCCTATAGGACTGCTTGCATGGTCCACAATTGCGTACACGCCAACAAGCGACTGCGGTGTGTTCGTTTAAACCATAACCACAATACAGCAAAAATTACTGAGAAGCACAGCGCAGCACGCGCTAGGTTACTCAAAATATTATTCGAAACAATTTTGGCAGCGCCCCGAGCATCTCAACCGACCGCATGTTCTAGTATACCTTCCACAGGACGCGCCTTATTGGCCACCATAAGGTATGTTTTCCCTGAGTCGATTACCCACTTTAATTATCAATCGCTTTAATTGATGTGAATTATCGACCAGCGCTATGTATGTACAGTACATAACGAACCAACCACGCAAAAGCGCACTCTCCGAACATCTGTTTGTTAGAAGGTGCCTCGGTGCAAGAGTTCCCGACGTTTCGAATCGCGCTCAGACACGTTTCGCTTCCACGCAAGCTGCCCGAGCGAAAATGACGAACGTCCCATGCAGCCGGCGGGACACACCTCCTGAGCGTTCTCCTCGCGCACTTTGCCTGTCAACTGACGTCAATGCGAACCACATCACACGCAGCAAGACCTCTCCGACTGCTCGCCCTGAACGTGCCCGCAAAGACAGCCGTTTCGCTCGAAACTTTTATTACTAGAAGAGCCTTTCGCAAGGTCGCCTATACGTGCCAGGGAAGAATTTCGCGCAAGCAGCTGGTACATGGCACGGCGCCCGTAAATTGCGCGCGGTGCGAGCTGTGCTCCGACTTAAAGCTGGGGCTCGTTCCGACACCGTCACTGTGGGTGCGAGAGCAGCAGAGTGCGTGGGGTATCGCTGACAATAATTATAAGCAGGCGGCACTGCGACCACAAGCTATACTGTGAAGCAGAGGGAGAAAATAAAATAACGAACATAGAAAAAAAAACCGTGACATGAAAACAGCGGAATTTTTTAACAGCTCGAGCACAGGACGAAGCAGCAGAGTTTTTAAAAAATTTTGCCAATTTACAAGATATATATCAACCAGCCCAAGATTAGAAGATGGGGCACAAACGAGGCGTTTCGTACAGGACACATGACAATAAAAAAGACGGATGTCAGGGGGGAGGGGGTGATACGAACATGTTCTTCCTGGCGTGGCGTATTCGATCTTAAGAATTTCAGTGCCACGTCATACCTGAACGCGAAAGCAACCTTACAGGAGTCTTTTTTTTTTTTCGAAGCTCACTCTCAAATGTTTCGCCGAACGAATATCACCGAGAAACGCAGTACACACCACGTGGTACACACAGAGTAACGACGCCATCAGTTGACCGCCAAACGTGCAGACGTAACATCGGGGCTCACATGCCACCCCCATGAACAGCAACCACAACAAAATGGCCTCGGCAGCGTTCTCTTCCCACCTGAATCAACACGTTCGACAAGACCGCACCGCGCGGAACGGAATCAGGAGTGGCCCAACAGTTGCGACCGGTTGCACGACAAAGCGCGAGTGAAACGAGCTGACTCACCCATGTTCCCCTCCGCCTCACGGAGAACGGATGCTTCGCGGAAAAGACGCCCCCCCCCCCCCTCCCATTTTTGGCAAGACCCCGCACAGGTCTGGGGCAGACGAGAGACACCGCCCACCGATAGCGGCGCCGGAACGCATTCCATGGCCCACACAAGGGCACTTCACCTGTCGCTTGTTACGTCACCTGCAGCAGCCACTTTTCTTTTCTCCCCCCTCCCCTCTTTCCTGCTACCGTGATTAAATCGACGACGCGCGTGCGGCGCTCGAAATATCGCGGCCGATGACGCAGGCGATTCTAGGGTTGCGGTGCATTGCATCAACACTTGTCGAAAAGGAAAATGGAAAGTTTCTCGCGCCTTCCCAAATACACGTCACTGAGCCGGCGTGCACCCGGACATGATGGAAGCTCTCTCAGCCCACAATGTCATATATCGTCAGCTTCTTCATCAGCAGCGGCAGACTGCTCAACCACATTGTAGAACAAAGATTTCCATCGGAAATTCATGTTTCCTTTCATGCGTCGACTCGACGCATCCTCAGAGAGGGAAAAAAAAATGATAGAAAATCCGGTTACTATACCTTTGGCTGAAGCGTCTACTGCCTATTTACTAAATAGACAGGTGCGTGTCGGCTTTAATTAAGTCTGCTACATGCATTTCACGTGTTCAGTCGCAGTCCACAGAACAAGCTACTCGCATTTACCGCAGTATACGTACTAACTGCCCAGCAATAATACTCGATTTTGAGTCTGGTGCAAAATTTAGGTAAAATTGTAGTCGCTTTCAACATGCAAAATTACCAGTAATGTGCAACAGTGTGCATCTCGATCGACAATTATGCGCTAACAATTCCGCCCACAATTTAACTGATTATATGTCCAAATACGCGAGTTCTCTACTGCACGATGCTTCTTCAATGTACGCCTACAAATGCTACTGAAAATATATCAGTGAACCTGCAGCAGAACAGAATTATTGTTCCCTGCACGTGCCACTCTCGCTCATCGTTCGTTCACGAGCTTCCGGGCGTAGTTCTATACATCTTAGCACCGCAACCTGAACCATCCGCGAACACAGGATTCATTCCGCCACATGAATCAGCCATCAGTTACTGTTACGGTAACGAATGAGCTTCACGTAAACATCAATAGCTAATAATCAATTACTGGTAGTTAATGTAGTGGGATAGTCTGGGTGAACAGTCGAAGTGTCTCAGATAGGCTGGGCGACGTTCCGATAGGAGTACCTATCTTCATCAAAGGCGCCTTGTCATCCTTGGAGTGTTAGTTTCAAGGGGTTAGCCCCCTTAAAACTAACACACCAAAGATGACAAGGCGTCTTTGACGAAGATAGGTCCTCCTATCGGCACGTCGGCCAGCCTAACTGAGGCACTTGCATTGTTCACCCCGACTCTCCTGCTACGTGCTTCCACCTGTCGGCTCCTATTTTTATTTTGGTTGTTAACGTAGTAATATCTGATGACCACTTCATTTGACAAAATAAATGCCGTTAAGATTACGGAAGAATGAACAATCGTAAACTATTTTACATGCGAAGCAGCTTATAAACGAGGCCTGCACTCTGTCGCGCCGGGGCCGCAGTACTAGATGCACCCAATAAAGCTCAGCGAAGATCCATCCACTTCACGGGGAGATACGGACGATTTCTGCGATCACGGCAGAGCACATGCAAGGTACCCACTATGCGCCGTGAAGATGACGATCCAGATAACAACACAGCAGTTATGATCAATAAACATTGCATATAACTGTATACCTCTTGGCACTCATTTGCGTGCGTGACTGGTAAATGCCACGGGTGGGTTCTTTACAGTAACACCAAACAATCCACTTTCTCTGCCCACTCATCATAATTCGTTTTGTAAATATGCCGCGACTTCTTTATAACATGAAAGCTGTTCAAAGTGCGCGGCCATAATTAATCGCTAACTTCAAAAAACAAATACAGTTCTAGTTTTTTATTCAGTTTTAATTTACCTATCTCATGCTTGTATAAAAGCATCGTCATTATATTGTTGTCCATAAGGACGAAGCAAACGAAGACAGGTGAACGCGCTTGCTACTGTGGCTCGAGAGCTCGTCGTCCATTTCGTTTTCGCCACTTGCATAGGTCACTGCTAATGCACCCCTCGCTCATGTCGTCGAAGACACTTGCGCGACACGCCAGCCTCCATGACACCTGCGAAGTTGCCGAGAAAGAGCGCCGTCAAACATACTACGAAGATGAGAGCCAGCGGGAACTGTCAGCCTGTGAAGAACCGGCCGGGCACGTCAACGCCATGACCGGCTTCGACAAGCCTCCTATAGGACTAGAATCTCGAATCAGTGGAGCTTCAACCCGCGAAGAACCAGTCGCGGACGTCGAAACCATGACCAGCTCCGAGAAGCTTCCTGGCGGAATGGAACCTGGAGTCGGTGGAGCTTCTACTGACAAGACACCAGCATCAAAAACTAAACAAGCCGAACCCAAGAAGAGCGAGCCGATCGCTTCGACCGATTATCACGTGATCACCCTGTCCGAGGAGCAATACACGCACCTGCTGCAGTCACACAGCTGGCCGAACCAATCCAAGTCAATCATCAGCATACATCAGGAGAAGAAGACCAAGCCATCGTGCAAATCTTCGGGCGGCCAGGAGCCGCTGACTTCTCAGCCAACTTTGGCGCAGCAAACGATGGCGCTGCAGACGCCGGCCCAGCAACTGCCGGCAGTGCAGACACCAGTAGTTCAAACAGCAGTACAGCAGACACCAGTGCCTATTGTACCAGCACAATACGTACCGGGGCAGCAAACCACCACCGTGCTGGCGGCGACAGAAGTGCCGACTATGCTGACGCCCATTTTTCGCTGGATCATCGAGCACGACCAACGGAAGCTGTCGGGCAGCGGCGGCACAGAAGAGGTGGTCACGGAACTTATTCTTCCGGCCGCAGCCCGCAAACTAACGCACAATAGCGTTACGGCCAAGCCGGCCTCTCCGAGAGCTGCTAGGAAGAATCTGGCCCAGGCCGAAGCCAAAGAGAGCGAGCTGAGTGCCTCGACCGAGTCTCACGGGATCACCCTCTCGGAAGAGCAGTACACAAGCTTGCTGCAGTCACTCAACTTGCCGATCCACTCCAAGCCATTCACCAGCACCCAGCTGGAGAAGGAGGCCGAGCCACCGGGCAGATGTTCGGGCGGGCATCAGTTGCAGACTCCTCAGCCGACTGAGCCGCAGCACACGATGGCACAGCAAATGCCAGCAGTACAGACGCTAGTGATGCAGCAGACACCGCTGCCTATTGTACCGGCACAACAGACACCGGAGCAGCAAACCACCACCATGCTGGCGGGGACAAAAATGCCGACTCCCATGTCTCGCTGTATCATCGAACACGACCAATGGACGCCGTCGGGCAGCGGCGGCACAGAAGAGGTGATCACAGCACTTGTTCTTCCGGCCGCAGCCCGCAAACTAACGCACGATAGCGTTCCGGCGAAGCCGGCCTCTCCGGGAGCTGCCAGGGAGAATCTGGTCCAGGCCGAAGCCAAGGAGAGCGAGCTGAGTGCCTCGAGCGAGTCTCACGGGATCACCCTCTCGGAGGAGCAGTACACAAGCATGCTGCAGTCACTCAACTTGCTGATCCACTCCAAGCCAATCACCAGCACCCAGCTGGAGAAGAAGGCCGAGCCACCGTGCAGATTTTCGGGCGGGCATCAGTTGCAGACTCCTCAGCCGACTGAGCCTCAGCACACGATGGCACAGCAAATGCCAGCAGTGCAGATGCTAGTGATGCAGCAGACACCGCTGCCTGTTGTGCCGGCACAACAGACACCGGGGCAGCAAACCACCACCGTGCTGGCGGCGACAGAAGTGCCGACTATGCTGACGTCCACGTTTAGCTGGACCATCGAGCACTACCAACGGCCACCGTCGGGCAGCGGCGGCACAGAAGAGGTGATCACGGCACTAGCTTTCCCAGCCGCCACCCGCAAACTGACGTATGACAGCGTTCAGATGACGCCGGCCTCTGCGGGTGCTGCCGAGGAGAGCCCTGTCTTCAGCGTAACGGCTGCGTGATGCAGCAGACGACCCGACCATCAAGCTGCCGACGCCGACAACTGTGCCAGCATTCGGAACGATACCCATTTTCTCACCAACCAACTGCGTGCTCACGCTGTCGCCCGTCGTTCTCGGGGTGGCTCCGCATGGCCAGGCGGTGATGTCGAGCATCAGTTGCACGTGGCACCTGGACTATGTGCCAAATGGACGTGGGCGCATAGGGCGCATAGAATGGGTTCTAGTGCGCCAGCAGGCTCATATTTCGCAACGTCACATCGTTACGTGACGTCCAATCGCATAGTTCGTATAAGCATAACGAACAATAAGGCCAGTCAGTTTCCACACGTGCACGGACAACGCAGTCCAAGCAAGGAAACTGAATTATACTTCGTTTTTAATACATCAGTCACAAGCAAGAACCGAAACGAAAGTTTATCGCATACACGCTAGTTGTATTTAAATAGATGGCACTATGTAATAAAGCACTACCACGAGTCGCGCGCCATGCAGTTACGGCACTCGGCATCGAGGCGCTCTGTACCAGCCGAAAACTTGATGACATCCTGAAGTTTTTACCTGAAGTAGGCTATCTTTTTTTAATTTGTTACATTCCTGACAAGCGATGAAGCCTCATATATGTGCTCCATGTTTATTCATCGCGGTATTTCAACTACTAGTCGTCAACATTTCGGCCCTTTCTGTTTTTCTTCACGGGGATCGTCACCGGGACTCCACACAGCTTTTCTCATCAGCTAATGAAGACGCCATTTTACACCACCATTAGATCCGATTCTCGTACCACAAACTGAGTGCGTATAATATTCTCAGATGGGCATTCGCACGCTATAGACCTCAATCGATCGGTTAAGAGATAAGTGTGTTACAGAAAAGTTACGGTGCTCTTCGACTCTCTCTGTCCATCGCTGCATAAAACGCCCCACATCACCATGATCACCATCACATTGATCATCCACGCACGTTTGCTAAATAAGTACTGAATTGTGCGGTTTCGCATGCCAAAATCAACATATTGCGAGGCACGCCGCAGTGGAGGTTTCCGAATTAATTTTCACCCGGGCTTCCTTTACGTGCTTCTGATTTCAAGTATATACACGGCGTTGTTTTTTTTTCTTCGGATATCGTTCTCCATCGGAATGCGTCCTCCATCGTTGGGAATCGTCTTTCGCAGCTCAACGTCGCATTCAGCAATCTTCTGCGGCAGCCGCTTTTCCAACAGAACCCACGCAAATGCATTCAAGAGAGTCCGCCCAACATATATCCGAAACGCAGCACACTTGACATTTCCGCGTTGGAGAGAGACGAAAACGCTTTCGTTGTTGGCAGTATATATACCTACTAGGTCCTCGTATATTGCGCGCACGATCTGCTTCGTTACAGCTCAAACGTGTCGTCTTGCGCAATCTGCGCGAGCATGTGCGCTGCATGCGAGCGTGCAAGCGACGCCTTGTTGCGCCACGATGCCTGCAGCGCGCCATTACGCGAAGAGATTTTGCGCGTCTGCAGAGAGGTATACTTGTCTGCCTGCCACGTCACCTTATCGCAGCGGCCGGGGTCGTGTAGTATATACACATAATAGATCAGCACACTGTGCATGCACGGTCCCTTCTAGAGACTGTATATACGCGCTGTATCACAATAAAAAATGTGGCGCTTAATAGAAAGCCAGAGATGACGTCATTGAGTTAGCTGAACTGCTGCTCGAGTGCATGATCGCGTTCCACGCGCCACCCCATCTGTGCGATAACACCAGAGAACACCTCGCCAATTGTTTTAAAGTAGGGCCGCCATGTCAGCCTGTTCACGTTGCCATTTTGGACTGGCACAGCTATATGAACGGTATAGGAGCAACATAACACTCGCACGCACGAAAACGGCCGGATGCATTCAGCGTTTCGTGACTTCTGTCATTTTGACGCTGGAAAATCTGAAATTGAGAAAGATATCGGGTAAAAGCGTCAGTGTGGTCACGCCCATGAATCACAGTAGAAAATAATGAGGGTGTGTAAATATTTCAAAACCTTAAATAATAGCGTCCAAATAGAGCCTATTCTGAATACCAAATATGTTTCAAAATTTTTTAACTGAATAAAGGCGCGCACTCAGATAAGGACACTATAACAGGAAATTGGACAGACCAAGACCGCCTTGCTCGCAACCGTAATGTTTATTCGAAAGAAAGGTAAGTACACATATACCACTTCTGTCACATGACCTGGTATTTCCTGTTCTAGTGTCTGTCTAAGTGCGTGCCCTTATTCAGTTAAAAGATGAAACAATACCAACTAGCCCAATTATCCGTGCTACTGCAATGTTTCAAAATATAGTCCTCGCACTTTCCCTGAATAATCCGCTCCGACGAGAAAACCGCAATGGAACGCAACATTGAATAATCTAGGGGTAATTTTCATGTTTTGATCATTGCATTACCAAATTAGAAGCAGCCGGAGCTTCTCCGTGACTGTCAGCCCCGCCGCAGTGGTCTAATGGCTAAGGTACTCGGCTGCTGACCCGCAGGTCGCGGGATCGAATACCGGCTGTGGTGGCTGCATTTTCGATGAAGGCGAAAAGGCTGTAGGCCCGTGTGCTTAGATTTGGGTGCACGTTAAAGAAACCCAGGTGGTTAAAATTTCCGGAGCCCTTCATTAAGGCATCTCTCATAATCATATGGTGGTTATGATACGTTAAAGCCCACGTAGCTATCAATCTGGGACTGTCAATTCTATATATTTTTTGGCCACCAAATGAATATCTCTTTGCTTGTAGAGGTACTACATCACAGAAGCGGACATGTAATAAGGTCGCTTCATAAGGTTGGTGGTATTGTTGCCTAGGTGGCGGTAGTGAACTGTTTAATGCACCCAAAAAAGAAAGGACCAGTACAAATACTGCTTGCGGTGTCTTAAAAGAGGTTGCATTGTCTTAAAAGGAGGATCGGCCGGGTTGCATTGTCTTAAAAGGAGGATCCCTCGCAATACCGCAGCCTCCACCGCACGCTTGTTGAACCAGCGTTGGTCTTCTGGCTCGACAGTACTTTCACGACTCGGATCTGTATGTGTTGTCTCTTCGTGACGCATCACAAACCTCTCTCACATGTTGTCGCCATACACGCTAAACATGAATAAATAAAAAAGAGGCCAAGCAAGTTTGCATAACTGTTCTTACAGATACAGTATTGACCAACTTTTTGTGTAGTTTTTTGTTTAACTACGCCGGTCACGATGCGAAGGAACGGGCAACGAAAAACTGAACATCGCGGGAATCATGGGACAGCTGACAGCGTTAGCATCACTTCGCGAACCTGAATTTAGGTCCAAGTTAATGAACAATCAAAATTTTTCCCTCACTACGGCACACTTCACAATCATACACGTGGCTTTAGAATGCAAAGCCCCTTATTCTTGAAGGTCCTCACTTCAGGACGTGACCCCCCCCCCCCCCCTCCCACCAATTTATTTTTTATTCGTGCCTTATCAGGCCACGTAGCGCAGCGCTGCAAAACACTACCAGCCCATGGCACCTTCCGGTCCACGGCACCAGATGGGCACTCTCGCCCGGCAAGCGCTTCACTGTTGCCATCAATTCGGCGTGGGCCTACACTTTTCATGGCGGCGGGCAACATCGAGAGCAATTCCAGCGCAGACAACCGAACAAAGTCGAAACGTTGCACTTTCAGCGGCGAGCCCAGACGGGGTGCGGCTGCGGTAAGGTGGACGACGTCAAGCCACCGATAACGACAGCAGTGCATGCAATGCTATCGGGCAAACCTGCTGAAAACGTGCAGCAGAGCGCGCACGGGACTTGTTTTTCCCTCTCGCGACGCGGCGGCACGTGTTGTCGCCGCAGGACAGGCGTGCGAATATTTGCGCCCATGACGTCAGCTCACAGAGACCGCAGCGTCGCCTTTTATCATCATAAGCACGAATTCTTTCACGTCACCAAGGACAACATCGCACGGGAGAGGAAATGCCAACAGAAGGAACAGCAGGGCGAGCTTTTGACATGACGAGCGATAAGGACGTGACGAAGACTTCCTGGTGGTACAAACACCCCGGACTCGCAGAGTCACTGAATTGATTGATATGTGGAGTTTAACGTCCCAAAACCACCATATGATTATGAGAGACGCCGTAGTGGAGGGCTCCGGAAATTTCGACCACCTGGGGTTCTTTAACGTGCACCCAAATCTGAGCACACGGGCAGAGTCACTGAAGGCGACAACGATGGCACAAAGTGGAGTCGCGATCATCTCGTTCTTCACCACACTGCCCCGGTGAAGAACGCCCGCGTCACAGTCACCCGATTATGGCCCTTAGCGACAAATATCTACTCACAACTAACTAGACGGGGCTGATTTCGAAGACATCGAAATGCAGCGGTCATGCGAAGGCCGGTTATCAGAATGCGATCAGTTATTGAGACTACTGCCGAGCTCGAGGCCGCGGCTCCCGGGCACCGACAACGCAAGTCTCTTCCGCTGAAAAAAAAAAAAGAAAAAAAACGTCCCGTGATCGCTAATGCTAAGGTATACATTTGTATACTTATCGGGTGCTATATCGAAGTCTGTGCCGTTTTGAGCGCGGCGACAGGGTCGCCTGATGCATTACTTAATTAACGTAAGTCGTACATTTGAACAGAACGCGCGCCGCTTTTCGTGGAAAGTAGGGGAGCTGGCGAAGTGGTCGTGGAGATGGGCAGGGGGGGGGGGGGGGGGGGGGCTTTATTGCTCGAGAAATGCCCGCGCACCGAACTGGCTTGTAATCGGGCTGCATTTAACCGGCGTAGCGAGTGCTGCGCGAGCGCTCCCCCTGGAAGCGGGCGCGAATTCGAGAGCGCACGCCATTTCCCCCTCGCCCACCGTACGCTCTCAGATCCCGTAACAAGCGTGCACTTTCCCCGCTCGGCGCCCATCGAAGGCCGACTGGGTAATGCATGCGAAGACGCCGTTTGTTCCGAGTCCTCCGGGCAGGGCCAGTACAGCAGCGGCGCTCATCTAGTTG